GCAAGAAGAAAACTGAGAAAGGCGGGAGAAAGAAAGAAAGAAAGAAAAAAAAAGAAAAAAGAAAGAAAGAAAGAAAAGAAAGAAAGAAAAAAAATGTAAGAAAAATAAAGCAAGAAAAAAATGCCAGGCGAAGAAAGAAAGAAAGAAAGAAAGAAAGAAAGAAAGAAAGAAAGAAAGAAAGAAAGAAAGAAAGAAATGTATGAAAAAAGAAAAGAAGTAAAGAGCCAAAACCCTTCAAAGAAAGAAAAGAAAGAAAAAAGAAAGAAAGAAAGAAAGAAAGAAAGAAGGAAATGTATTCAAAAAGAAAGCGAGAAGTGACGAAAGCCAGAAAGAAAGAAATAAAGAAAGAAAAGAAAAAGAAAGAAAAGAAAGAAAAAAAAAAAGAAAGAAAGAAAAGAAAAAAGAAAGAAAAAAAAAAAAAAATGAAAAAGAAGAAAGAAAGAAAGAAAGAAAGAAAAATAAAGAAAGAAAAAATGGAAGAAAAAGAAAGAAAAGAAAAAAAAAAAATTTTTTAAAAAGAAAGAAAGAAAGAAAGAAAGGCTGGAGAAAAAAGAAAGAAAGAAAAGAAAGAAAGAAAGAAATAAAGAAAGAAAGAATGGAAGAAAAACAAGAAATAAAAAGAACGAATTTTCGGAAAATAAATTTCTACAGAAGAGAAAAAAGAAAAAAAGAAAGAAAACCATAACAACAATAAAGAAAGAAAAAAAGAAAGAAAGAAAGAAAAAAAAAAAAAGAAAGATAAAAATGAACTACTTTTCCGAAAATAAAAAATTAACAAAAAACGAAATGAAATAAGTATATAAATAAATGAATAAATAAATAAATAAATAAAAGAAAAAAATATATTTTGCGAAACGAAAAAAAACCCCCAAAAAACAAACTCGCAAAAGTAGCAGAAAGAAGGAAATAAATAAATAAAAGAATAAATAAATAATGGAATTAAATTCCAGAAAACAAAAGTAACAAGAAAAATTAGCAGGACTAACAAAGAAAATTACATGAAAGATTAAGAAAGAAAGAAATGTATGAAAAATAGAAAAGAAGTACACTGAGCCAGGCGGGAAAAAAGAAAAAAAGAAAAAAAAAAAAAGAAAGAAAAAAGAAAGAAAAGATGAAAAATTGAGAGCAAGAAAGACAATGAGAGAAAGAATGAAAGTAAAGAAAGAAAGAAAAAAGAAAATATATAAAGAAATAAAGAAAGAAATGAAAAAAAAGAGAGGGAATTTTTATAGAGATGAAAGGAGAAAGAAAGAAAGAAAGAAAGAAAGAAAGAAATTCTCAAAGAAAGAAAAGAAAAAAAAATTAAAAAAAAAAAAAAGATTGAAATTTTTTTTGTTTCAAAAAAAAAGAAAAAGAAAAAAGAAAGAAAGAAAGAAAAAAGAAATGTATGAAAAAAGAGCAAAAGTACAATTTAAAGAAAGAAAGAAAGAAAGAAACTTTAAAGAAAAAAAAGAAAAGAAAGAAAGAAAGAAAAAATGAAAAATAAGAAAAAAAGTTCACTTCCCAAAAGGGAGAAAAAAAAAAAAAAGAAAAAAGAAAGAAAGAAAAGAAAATAGAAAAAAGAAAGAAAAGAAAGAAAAATGTATGAAAAATAAAGTTGAATAGTACGCTTTTTTCAGGCAGGAGAAAGAAAGAAAGAAAGAAAGAAAGAAAGAAAGAAAGAAAGAAAGAAAAAAAAAAGAAAATAAAGAAAGAAAAGAAAGAAATGTAAAAAATTTGAGCTTTAGTACGCTGAGCCAGGCGGGAGAAAGAAAGAAAGTAAGAAAGGAAGAAAGAAAGAAAGAAAGAAAGAAATGTATGAAAAATTGAGCGAGAAGTACGCTGAGCCAGGCGGGAGAAAGAAAGAAAGAAAGAAAGAAAGAAAGAAATAAAGAAAGAAAGAATTTTTTTAAAAACAAGAAATAAAAAGAACGAATTTTCGGAAAATAAATTTCTACAGAAGAGAAAGATAAAATTTTTTTCTAAAACCATAACAGCAAGAAAGAAAGAAAAAGAAGAAAGAGAGAAGGGGAGAGAGAAAAAAAAACGAAAGATAAAATGAACTACTTTTCCGAAAAATAAAGAATTAACAAAAGAACGAAATGGAGATAAGTATATAAATAAATGAATAAATAAATAAATAAATAAAAGAAAAAAATATATTTTGCGAAACGAAAAAAACCCCAAAAAACAAACTCGCAAAACTAGCAAAAAGAAGGAAATAAATAAATAAAAGAATTTTCTTAATAATGGAATTTTTCCAGAAAACAAAAAGTAACAAGAAAAATTAGCAGGACTAATAAAAAAAAAAATTAATTGAAAAGATTAAGAAAAAAAAAAAAAGAAAAAAAAAGAAAAAGAAAAAAAAGAAAAAAAGAAAGAAAGAAAAAAAAAGAAAATTTCTGAAAGAAAGAAAAAGGCAGGGAGGTCAGAACTAAATATATAAGTAAAGACAAAAAGAAAGCTATGTACATTGAAGAAATAACAATTGTATACCAGAACTGAAGAAAAAAAAAGGCATATTGAAAAAACATAAAAGAAACATCAAATAAAAAAAATCGAAGTGAAAAGAAAGAAAGAATGAAAGAAAGAAAGAAAGAAAGAAAATAAAGAAAGCCAAATATGCATTGGTCCTATATATATATATATATATATAATATGTATATATATATATATATATTATTACTGGATTATCGATTTTTTGTTGTATGAGGTCAAAGCCTCAGTTCCTATAAACAGACAAATAGACCTCCCATGACAAGCATTTGATTATAGACAAAAAACCAAAAAAACTAACTTTTTGAAGAGACAAATGTACAGAACTAGTGCAAATTTTAAGAAACAATTTTGTATTACGAAACCCACATGCAGGTTTTGAATTCAGAGTTTTTCCTTCTTGTAGACCAGTTACCACCCAAGTCTGTAGAACATAGTCTGTCCTCTTATTTACCACAGATGTATCAAATTGGCGGCCCGATGGCTGCATGCAGCCTTTTAGATGCATCTTGGCAGCCCTCACAATGGTTTCTATAGCCTTGGGATATCGAGAATTTTCTCTATGTTGGTAATGCAAATTATTAAAAACAGTAACATTCGTATTCATTTGGTAAGATCAGATTGTTTATTTTTTCTCAATGTGTTTTTTGTTTTTCGAATATCAGCGACTATTTTTAACTTCCGGTTAATCATGTGATCATCCTTGACAACTAAACAAACATAAAGTGAAAACGTACGTAATTTTGTAATATTTCGCCATAAGATTGTCGAATTTTACTCCATAAAACTCGTAAAAAGAGAAAATTATCTGAAGAATGGCGTGTGCTTCAAGAAAAGTGGACTTTTTTTTATCGAAGTCCCAGTTGTCACCTGAAAACTTGATTCATTTTCCTATGTGCAAGGAGTTGAAAATAAGCCAAGATTATGGCGATGTTTGGATCCACATATGTCTGTGAGCAGTTATTTTTGTTTATGAAGGCCACACAAACGTCTCATAGAACCAGATTAACTGATGAACATTTGTCATTTTTTATCAAAGTGCGATCTACACAGATATTCCAACCTGATATATCGAGAATAGTTTGTCTAAAGCAATAGTCATTCATCAGGACAACATAAAAAAATTAAATTGTAATACATTGTATTGTTATTATTTTGTATTTAAAGTTTTTTTACCATTATTTATCTTAATGTAAATATAAAGCAGGTGTATTCTCGAGGCTGAAATTTTTTATGCAGCCTCAATGCCCTTCTCTGACTACATTTATGTCCCATGTAAAAAATATAGGTATTTAAAGTTAATGAACCCAAACTATGGTGACTTGATAGATGAATTATTTCATTTTTATTAGAAAACAAGAGAAAAATGATAAAATTTCATTTTGAAGAAGAAAACTGTCCTCTGTTTGCCCTCACACACACAGAACACAGAATTTCATTTAATTGATATCATCTTTGACTCTATCTATTATCAATTCTATCTATAAAATCTAATATATTTTATTTTTTTATATATCTATCTATTATCTATTAAAAAAATCTATCTATGTCAATTTTTATCTATAATATCTATTTCAAACTTTATTTTGTATCTATCTATCTATCTATCAAGTTTCTTTCATCTATGACGATATATCTAATCTATCTATTTATCTATGTAATAATTCTTTTTATCTATCAAAACAATCTTTTATCTATCTATATCTATCTATTCATCTATTTATCTATATATTCATTTCTATCTTCTATCTAAAAATTTATTATATCTCTATCTGATATCTATTATATATATTTATCATCTATACATTTGTAGACTTTTTCTATCTATCTATCTATCATTGTCCCTTTTCTCATCTATCTATCTATCTATTATTATTTTCATATCTATATGATTATACTGTTAATTTTATATATCTATCTACCTATATAAATATCACTGTCCGTTCATATTTATCTTATCTATATATCTGTCTGTTTATCTATTATCATTGTCCCTTTTTATCTATCTATCTATCTATCTATTACAATCATTTATCTATCTAATATAAAATTTATCATTGTTTTTTTATTTATCATTCTATTTATCTATCTATCTAGTATCTTCTATTTAAATTAAATTGTTATAAAATATCTATCTAAAAACCATATTAATATCAATGTTCTGTTATATTGGCATCTATCTAATATTTTATTTAGTTTTTATTATGTTTTTCTAGTATTTAAATTTTGAAAATTTTTTTATCCCATGTAAAATATTGCTCTAAGTTTTTTTTGATTCTGATATTTTTTGCAAAATTTAGCCAACTTTTTAGGGTTATTTTTGTATTATTATTAAGAATGTATGTTGTACGTTCAATTTTAGTTATTAAAAGTTATACGTTTTAATTTTTATTATTATTTTTTATTATTATTTATTTTTTTTTCTTTGATTTCTGGCGTTTACACATTTCTTTCCGGGTCCCGCCCAGGGACCTAAGGTTAGAAATGGCGTCATGACACTTTCCACTGACAAAAAAAAAAAAAAAAAATTAGATAGATAAAGCCCTTCGTAAAGTGTGGGCTGTACTTGTCAGAACAATTTTTTGTATCTCCTTGAGGCATGGACTTCCAGGAATCCCTTCAATTAGTCTACTGCAATCTTTTCCAACCAGTCCTAGGGCTCCAACTACAACAGGGATTGTTGATGTTCCCATATGCCACATTTTCGAGATTTCTATTTCAAGGTCCTTGTATTTTGACAACTTTTTTGAATATCTTCAAAGATACATTGCAGTCAGCAGGGACTGCCATATCAATAAGGAGGCACCGTTTTTGTTTGTGGTCTTTAATAACAATATCTGGGCCGGTTGGCCTTGATTGTTCTGTCAGTGTGTATTGTGTAGTCCCATAGAATTGTAACAGGTCCTATCTCCGTAACCGGGTCTGGGTGGTGTTCATACCAGTTTCTTTCAGTTTCCTTCCCGTAGAAGTTGCAGATTTTTTTATTATTATTATTGGCCCATTATTATTATTATTTCATTATTGGGTTATTATGTTGTTGTTTTAATTATTATTATTATTATTATTATTATTGTTCAAATCATTGAAAATCTTTACTTTTAATTATGATGGGATTTTACTATAAACAAAATTTTAAATAATTTGCAATGCATTCTTTTATAAGAAAACCATTTGCAATGCAACTTCAAAAGTGTCATTTACTGTATTCTTATAGTAAAACTATTTTCTTTGCATTTTAGAGCAAAACTTTTTTGATTCAATTGATATATTTAAAATTAAAAATTTTGTCTTCAAAAAAAAAAAGGCTGTCCATTTAAAAATTGAATAATTTCCATTGTTTCAGTTCAGAATATTATTCAATCTTTGTTTGATCCATTATGACAAATTCCTATGATTTTAAGATTATTTTTGTTCTTAAATAAATTCAATTCCTGTAACAGTGAGTGGAAAATAAAAAGATTTACTTATTTTGAAGACCAAAGGAAAAAATTCAAAGTTGTGTAAAAAAAATGTTTATAATTTCTGTTTTCTCTCTCTCTCTCTCTCTCTCTTTTAAAAAAGATATATATTTATATATTCCATATTTATATAAATAATGAACCTGTGGCCCTGAAATTTCCAACCCTTTAAAATAACATTTTTTCTATCCGGAATCAGCTTAACATTCCAGTGACATTTTTTAATTGGGGTTAATTAATGTTTTGCAATTATTTTTTCCCCAATTTGACTTTTTTTTTTTTTAAAAAAATTTATTTGTCAAAAGGGTTCCTTGGTAATTGAAGATGGTATTCGAAAAAAAAAAAAATGATAAGACATTATCTGATGGCCATATTTAATTTTAAAAAAATTCTCATGCTGAACCGTATTCCTTGATATTTTTTTTAATGTAAAAAATACAAGGATTTTAAAATTAATTTGTTAAACTTTTCAATATATGTCTAATAAATCTCTCTCCTCTGTTCACTAGGTTATTTATCTTGATATATATATATATATATATATGTAAAAGACATAAATATGTGATCCACCAATGATATATATATATATATATATATATATATATATATATATATATTTTATGTATGCTATATTTATATATATATTATATATATATATATATATATATTCGGATTTAAATAAATTCATCATCTGGGAACAAAATTGATAAAATCTTAAAAATAATGAAATATATATATATATATATATATCAATCTAATATATATTTCACTTTTTATTCAGATAAGTATATCTTTAAAGAAAATATGAAAAAATATCGAAAAAAAAATGCGTTTTCAAATTATGTCCTTTTTATATATATTTATATATATATATATATATATTAGCTTTTTAAAACCCACATTTAAAAAAGGAAAAAAATAAGTTTAAAATCAATTGACATGTCTATCAGAATATTTATATATATGTATTTTTAATTGATTTTTATTTGATGTTCATTTTTATCTGGATTAGATGTTTGAAACAAAATCGGAGAAAAAATATGAATCCATATCAGTCCCCGATATTTGTTTGTAAATGTTTTATTGAAATAATTCTTTCTTAGAAATTCTAATTATATCCAAGAACGACATTATTTTTAAAAAAAAATCCGTTCTCATTATCAATATTTTTCTAAGCAGAATCCTTTTAGTTGGTAACCGGCCTTTGGGATCACATTTTTTGGGTTATTTTTTACATCGAAAAGATATTTAACATTACCCATTTTGATGTATTTAGGGAAATCATTTAAAAAATTCAGGACATTTTTACCTAGCATTTCAACGCAAATATTTATAAATAAATATATCACTATCTCAAGTGTTTCAAGATGATTAAGAGTAAAATAAAAAATTTTTGATAAAGGATAAAAAAAAGGACGCAACATATTGCCTTTTCATAAAAAGATGTTATTATTGACATTACATTTGAATATTTATTTCCGGTTGACATCAGGAAGATTTTGATGAAGATCATAAAATAATATGTATAATCCCCAAGATATTTGTTTTACGGCAGATCAGTTTCCCT